GATAGCACTGCATACCAGGGAGAGCAAATTTAGCCTATCTATCTATACTATGCAGTATAACTACCAAGAGGTGATTCCTGGCCTTAGAAATAGGAGGTCGCTCTCACCTGAGCTCATGTTTTTCAGAGTTTTGTCTCTGCTCAGCACATAGAAAGTCCCATTTATAGCTAGCCCACCCACACTCCAGGTTGTTGCACTGTGCTCCACTGAACCCAAAGGCACATTGTTCAGCAGTTTTCAGGGTCTCTCTCAACTCTTTCTAATCTCAATCCCATCCCTTCTGCACAGCAGCCTCATGTGTGTGCTCTGCCAACAGCTAAAGCACTTGCTGTCACCAGGATTAAGCAGCAAGTCCCATGGCCATAAGAAAGCTTTCTTCCTACAAGCACCTGCTTGGAGAAGGGCTCAGCATCCAGAAAGGTGAAGGCACCGACAGAGCTTCCCCCACTCCCAGCTGAGGTGTTAAAAGCAGGTGGGTTCAAGCAAGTCCCATCTCCTCAATGGGGCCAAGAACAGGGGAAGAGAGCGAGGACACAGGGAGTGACTGCAGAAGCCACATTGCATCAGGCCAGCAGACTGACCCTACCTCAGCCCTTCCTGAAGGTGCTACAGCCATCCCTGCCCGCTCAGCCTCCTGGCCCAGCCCAGCCCACCTGTATGGTCCCTGGCATCACCCAGGTCTCCCCAGCTGGCCTCACTTTGCAGCTAAGAGCTGGGAGGAGGTGGGGGTGGGGGATAGGGGGTTAACCCTTTCCCCACCAGCCTCCAGCCATGGCCTTAGCACAGGGCATGTGTGTGGCCCTCTGTGTGGCACCAGGCAACCTTGGGAAGGGGGATGAAACCCTGCCCTGAAGAGCCACCCCTGTGCCCCAGCGGAGGGAGGCAGTGCAGCTCTGTGCAATCCAGCTACTTGCAGGACTGAGCAGGCTGGGCTCAGAGCACTTACTGCAAAGCCATAGATCTTGACTTTTGCTTTTTTTTTTTTTAATGCCTTGAAATTACTTTCTACAGTAATATTTCTGTCCCTTCAAGATACACAACAGAAAGAGGGGGAGTCTGATGTGGAGTTTCTCTTGCCTCGCAGCATCACACCACAGGCTATTCCCTCCCTCTCTGACCTGCAGTCAACTCACAGCAGCCCAAAAACCTTTAAGAAAGGATCGAGGTTTGCAGGGTGGGCAGGCCCCTGTGTTTCTGGGAATACCAAGCTCCAGGCTCCCGGGAAAGGCAGGCACCGCTGCAGCGGGTGCCAGCTGGCTGTGGAGGAAGGGGACCCCTTGGGAGCCAGGAGACCTGGCGGTGACCTGTCCCCCTGCTCGGACTCCCTGCATAGCCGCCAGTCCCACGGGAGTCTTTCTGTGCCTCAGTTTCCCCCTTCAAGACAGGGACTCAGCAGCCCTTTCTGTGCTGTCTCCCGTGGTGGAGGAGCCTGGTGTCACTAGGGAAGTACTCTGACTTGCCTAGTATTTTTTGGATAATCAGCAAACGTGCTACAAAAGATGGCATATGGTCTGTGTGTGTGTGAGGGGGAGGGTAGGATTCTCTTATGCTGGAGAAAAAAAACCCAGTTCTTTAAATGAAACCTGAGAGCAGATCACGCTGCAGTTGTACAGCTGTGTCAGGATCCTGCCAAAGTGCACTGCAGCATGGACGGGATATTCAGCATCTTGCTGAACCCTGCGAGCTGCTCGACGTGGTCTCAGAAGGGGCTGTGGGAGCTTAAAGCCTGCTGCCGAGCGCCGGGGAAAGGCTGCTTGTGACAGCCGGGCGGCAAACGCAGCCCCCTCTCACGTGCCAGTGAGCTGCCTGGGGCAAGCTGGTGGCAGGGGGCTCAGCTAGTGTTTCCCTCTGAGCGCTCAGTGAGTGCAGTCCTAATAGTTTAGCTGTTTTCCTCGGGAAAGCACAGTGAACAGCCCCACGGGTTGCCCTTTCATCTTGCCAGATGGCTTACCACGCTACAGGGAACGGGGAGTGAGGACGCAAAGGTCCTGACATTTCTGTCTCCCAAGAGCTGCTCTTTGTGCTCATCTTTGATTGCTGTTGCTGTTTGATTTTTAGATTACACACAGATGCGCACACATGTGCAGGCAAACACACGTGCACAAGAAGCTCACTTCGGAAATATCAATTGCTGTCCATTTAGAAAGATCAATGCTTTCTCTAAAAGGCCTTATGTTATTATATTGTTTTCAAATGTCTCTCCCAACAGCCAATTATTCCTCCCCCAAGTCAAAAATACATTGGCAGTCAATAGTACTAATCGCTAAAAATCGACCACTACTTAGGAGGAGATAAGTTTGCCACCTCCCTTCCTGCTTTTCAGCCGAAGCAGGCCTCCCGGTTCTGACGGCCGTTGGCAAACGCAAACCTCGCAGCACACAAAAGGGAAAGAAAACCACAGCAGGCTTCAACCAGGCTCTCCCCACTTTTATTAGACTGAAATTAGAAATGTTGATGGTGCTGTTTGTCAAATAAAAACCCTAGAAAATGGAAAACATGGAGCCGCTCCACCCCTGTGGCAAGGATTAGCCCACGGGACCGCGGGAGGCAGGAGGGACCCCGGGGTGCTGGCACCGTCCTGGCCCCCAGCGCAGCCCAGGGTTTGCAGCATGAGCTGGCTGAGCGGGTGTTGGGGCAAGGCCAAAATGCAATATGGATAAAATGGCATGACTGGTAGGGATTTTTTTTTTTTTCTCTCTCCCAGAAAAACTGAAACAACCCCAAGTTAGCAGGTGCTTTATTCAGAAAATTTCCTGGAAACCTCTGTTATGGCCTAACGAGTAACCACAGTCCCTTTGGAGCTGGCCCTGGGCTGCTAAGGGCGCCTGCGGAAAGGTTTGGCTCCTGCCCGGCCGCCCTGCCTTGGGTAGTGCCTCCGTCCGCAGCTTTCCCATCACGCTCCTCGCCAGGCTCCGCGGAGCACAGGCAGCGAGAGGCTGCTATATTTCAACAGCAGCAGTATTCAGCCCCTAGGCAGGTGTTAGAGGGCCCAGCTGAACCTTTTAGCATGAGCGGCTCCTGCTCACGATTAGTCCCAGCAAGCGCCGTGCTCCCGATACCCTCCTGAACCGCGACCATGCTGGGCTCGCTCTGCAGCCATCGGGCATTTGTTGTGTTGCAGCCTCGGCTTCTTCCTTGCTCCATCCTGGTCTGGCTCTGGATAGGAAGGGATCTCAGCTGAAACCACCCCTGAGCAGGACTGGGATCCCCCGTGAGCCAGGAGATGCCCTGCGAGGGCAGCAGCAGCGGTGCTGCCAGCCGAGGAGGCTCCCGGCCACCGCGGGAGCTGCCCCGGGTGACGCTGCCAGAAATCACGCCCCGGGCAATCACGTTCGCAATTGCAATCGTATGGCTGCAGCGAGGGGCTGGGGCAGCGGAGCTGCGGGAAGCAGGGATGAGCACCTTGCGCCCCTGGGCGGGGGACGAGTGCTGCCGGCGCCACCCTCAGCAGCTTTTACTGGGCCCATGGCAGGCTGAGGGGTGCAAATGGTGATTTTGCCGTGGCTGGAGCCCAGAAAAGGGCAGCAGCAGGCTGCGACCCCCTGTTCCCATCACCGAGCGTGGCTAGACCGGTCCTGCCTGACCGGGAAGCCGCACACCCAGGAGAGGGGGGCGACCGGGAAGCCGCACACCCAGGAGTGGGTGCCCAGACCGCTGCAGTGGTGGGAGCTCCTCGCAGAGGAGATGGGGCCCAGCTTAAACCACCCCAGCACCTCCCCAGGGCTTCCTGGCAGAGCGCTCGGTCTTCTCGCTGTGCTTTTTGTGCATTTCGTTAAACACATCATGCAATGAGCTGAGTGAGAGCTCAGCGGTGCGTGGCAGGGTCGCGAGGCAATGGGGAAAGGAAAGGGGTGTTGGGGGTGAGTAGCCCCCCAAAACACTGCCATTCCTCCTGATTGCTGTGGCTCACTGCAGTGACACTTATAGATGAGGAGCATTTTCTTTAACAAATATGAATCTAATGGATTAGGTCTGATCTAATTATGCGTTCTGCATTAAGCTGATGCTCCCACTGTCTGCGGCTGCTGGCATAATTAAACTTAATGTACTTTTAATGATGTCTTCTTAACTCATGCATTCATATATGATTAGAATCAAACAGGACGAGCTGTCACGAGTCCAGGAGAGCTCTTTCAGCAGCTCCTGATGGGACTCATGTTGAAATATTAATAATGCAGATTTCAAGGTTAACAACATTGGTTTTGAAGTGGGGAAAGCCTGTCACAGTTTGAGCTAATCCGAGGCAACAAAACGGCTCCACTTTCAAGTTCAGCCTCTGCCCGTCCTATGTTTGTGCTCCTGGGACCAGGGGAATTTAAGTTTTACTTTGTAAAGATGTAAGTAACTGCGCTGGAAGCTCTGGACAGCAGCTGCCAAAGAAGCTGGGACGATAACTCTGCGGGCACCTTTTGGGCGCTTTACGGAAGAGGTCTCTGTCCTGGGGCACTCGTCTGTCCTCCTATTTCTCCTTCCTGCTGTTCTTCTGCAAACAGGAAGCAGTTCGTGTTAGGACCCAGCAATCAGAAGAGAAACTCAACTTTTGTCCAGTGTTTGACAAAGTGAAATTAGGTTGGGTGCCCCCTCCCAGTCACTATCAGCTTGTCCACAGCCGCCTTGGCCCGGGAAATTTGCTCCCTTGAGCTGTGTACTGCCTTGTGCTGCAGGGCCTGGTGAAGCCTTGAGATTGTGAGACAGCTAAGAAAGAGGCTCTCAGCATTTTTCCCAAATAAAATGCTGAATGTCACATGGCTTCTATTTCAGCACTTGGATGAAGGACCCAGTTCTAGCCTTCAGTGCTGTCTGTTGGGTAAGTAGGAAGTATTTTAACAAATGCTGCCTTGGCTCCAGAGTCCTACATGCGGCAGGTAACAATGGTGCAATGAAACCTTTTTTTCCTCCCCCTTCTTTTTTTCTGTTTTTATGGAACAGTTTTTTCATCAGCCCATGGCCTGGCAGACAGGTTGTCTTTTGACTTCCTGACAGCAAGTTGTGAAATTGTCTGAAATCCTTCCAACAGGAAAGCATTGATTTATTACACTGTAATACTGATGCGAACAACACCGTGTACCTTTCATCTAAAAAGTCAGGACTTATAGAACACGACATGCCATTAATTCTGATGCCAGCTACAACAGAGGAGGAATTACTGCCAAAGGGATCTGGAGAGCATGTTAAACCATCCCTGCAGAGTAATGAACATACTTTGTGGCTGTTACATTATACCATATTGATCCTTAGGAATCAAAAGGTACCTTGACAGCTAATTTAGGCTATCAAAGGCTACTGTTAATAACTGTGCATGAACATGTGTGTGTATGTGTGTGTGTATGTGTGTACCATGTAATTAGTACATGAGAAAGAGATGTGGAAATATTAGCTAATTAAGCTTCTCAATATCCCCTCCGGAGGGAAGGATTACCACGTTTTGCTGCTCCAGAGACAGCTCTCCCCTTGCACGCGCTGGCGGGTGAGCTCCCTCGGGGGCCTGCTCCGAGGAGGTGAGGACCAGCCCAGCCTCTCTCCTTCCCGCAGCCGGACCTGCCCTCCAGCCTCGGAGCAGCGATGCCGCCTCGGGGTAAGCGTGCACCAGCGTAACGCCAGCCTAAGGGCACAGCCAGACGCCTCAGCGCTCTGCAAGATCGCAGCCCCCTGTAACATCCCCATCCCTCACTGAGATCCCCCTTCTCCTGCGCAGGCTGGAGCAGGGCACTGCCCGCTGCGTGCCGTAAGTGCTGTGGTGCCGGCGCTCCTGCTGACTGCTGCCTCCGGCCTCCTGCTGACTGCTGGACAGCGGTGCTCCTCTTCGCAAGATGTGTCCTTCCAGGGAAAGGGCTCTGCTGCCCCTTGGTGACTCCTGTAAATCTATCCTGACTATCCTGGGAAACATGATTGTATTTGCTTTTCTTCTAATTTTTTCTCTCTTTTTTTTCAAGCAGATTTGTATTGCTGAGGAAACGCCCTGGCGTTAGCACATTGAATAACACACTTAACCTTAGATTGCCAGATTTTTCACCCAGGTTTCATGTGGTATTTGCAACTCACTCTTCCCAGCTGATGAACACTGATCTCTGCTTTCACCCTGGACAGAAGCATCGTGCTGCAAGAAGCTGTTGCTAGAAGAGCGCTCGTGCCCAGCACCCTGCCCAGCTCCACCCTGCCTTCCCTCTGATGACCGCCGAAAGCATATCAGTTTTCATTCAGTTCTGTAAATCTTTGTCTGTAATGCTCACATAATCTCCTCACTTCTGCCACCCCCTTTGCAGTGACCCTGGGGACAGCCGGGACCCTGCAGCGTGGCGCAGTCTCGAGCACCGCCCTGCAGACAGGCTCCTTGCCACCGACAGCAGCAGTGTAAGGGGTTACGGGATCCCTCAGCCCCTGTGCAGAGCTGCAGTCCCAGCTCTGCTGCCATCCCAGGCAGGGAAGTCATTTGCTGCCTAAAGCTATGCACTGATGTGGAGTTATCTGGGATAAGGTAACCACCGTGTGCGTATCCAGGGTCTACTCCGGGCTACTTCTCCAGCTGCTGGCACGCTTTCACCCCTCGCGCACTCTCAAGCCATTGGGACCATATGCCTGGAAAAAAGCAGAGCTGCTCCACGTAAGAAGCAAGCTGGCAGGGGGTCATCTTGGTAAGGAAGCTCAGGTAACAAGACTGATCGTTTCTATGGAGCCCAAGCCGCTCTCTGGCACCTCCTGAGCCAAGGTCTGTGTGTGGGTTTTGCCCCCAGAAGCCCTGCTCTGCTGCGGGCTGACGTGCCACTGTGTGTGGCACCAGGATGTCGCTGGGTCCCTGCCATTAATGTAGGGGGCACGAGAGATGTGAGCATGGGGCCACAGCCAGCAGTGGGCTTCTAGGACGCCAGAGCAGTGATGGTGCTGCCCGATTGATTCGTGCCTGCAGGCAATGCGGAGACAGCAGGGTGGTCCGTGCTTGAGGCAGCCAGCAGCTACACGAGATCGGAATGGAGACCGAGCCACCTGGCTCTGAGGACTAATGCGTTTACTCCACACTCCCTAATGTGCACCAGGCTGCTCTGGAGCAACCCTGCTAGCTAAGCCCAGAGCCATGCTGCGGCTTCTTCCGTGTCTGTGGGCAGGGTACTGCACACCACCAGGCTAGGTTGTCTGGGCTCTGACATGGTGGAACAACATGCTAGTTCGAAACGTGCACAAAAACAGTCTCCTGGGGACATCAAGCCACATGTGAGGAGTGGGTGACTGTGCCTTTCTTTAAAAGTCTAGTAGGAGCCTGTGTTCACAGTGCAAACATCCCCAAGGCTCCCAAACCCTTCCAAAGAGGTATGTGCTGGAGCTGAAGGGGTTGGTGGCATCCCCTGGGTCACTGCAGATGCTGTTGTACCTGCTCACAGCCCTGCCCTATTCCTGCACTGAGCTTAGACGAGTACGTTTTCCTCACATTTGCTGGCAGATAGGAGTTCAGGCAAACAAGTCCAGCCAAATCAGCCTGTGCCCTGGGGCAGGGGTTACGGCCCCCAGAGTACAGCGCAGGCTGACTCATGCATTTGCTCCTCACCTATCATGCTGCAGGGCTTGGTGCTTTCAGCTTCCATGACTGCTGCAGATGGCTTTGGATCCTTGCTGGAGCATTCAGCCCTGTTTCCTACAAGTTTCCTACACTGCTTTTACCAGTACAAGGGGATTATGACTTGCTTTTGTCAAGGCATAAAGGAACATTTCTTGTGCATCTCTGCAACTGCACTGGGAAGCAGGAGTGAACCACACAGCACAGATAGTGTTTTCAGACAGGTTCCAAGCCCACAGTGCAGCACTGGATGCCTAAGGCAGGTGTGGAAGACTGAAACGGGCTGATGCAACACCGTCTGCCCCGGAAAGCTTCCCTTCAGGCCCCATGTGCTGGGAGTCTCTCGAGTTTCATGGCCTGAGGGTTTGCATCCCCTTTCAAAACATATTCATTCTGCTCCTTGCTGACTCTATCTTTAAAACTTACCGGGGGGTAAAAAACTCTCTTGACCGTTGGACGCCTCAATCTACAACCACTGCCCTGCAGGGAGAGCCGAGATTCCTGATCCGAGGCACTTCAGCGTCTCTGTCTCCCTGGCTGTAAAATGGGAGGGATGACATGGGGAAGGGAAGTCCTTTCAGATCTGTGACACCAAGTGCTACATCAGAGCGTGACATTAATGATTACAGTTAACCTCAGTAGCTGTCAGCATCTGCATAACCAATCTCCTTTAAATCCTACTCTCCTTTCCACTTAGAAGACTTTTTGATGAGGAATTTAGCAGTATAATTGTGTGAAAAATGAGTTAGAAATATCTTAAATGCCCCAGCTGCTGAAATAGCATGACAGCTCCTAGGAAAGCCCATACTAGGGAGGATTTTTGGACCAGTGCTGGTTCTGAGTTATCGCTGAGCTGACTACATCTTCTCTCTTTGTAAAAACAAGCTAAAATCCTCAAACAGCCCTCCTCAAAAAGTAATCCCTCAAAACTCCAAACAAGAGGGAAAATCCTTAACTTTGAACCCAATGAATGTTTAGTTTCCTGACTCTTGGGTAAATATTAGATAGATTCCCAATTTCAACCTGAAGCAGTTTATTTGGCTGCTGTTCACAAGTCAGACACAGCAATAATCAAGGAAATCTCGTTTGATTCAGGTTGGCTGATATTGCCTGAGGGGTAACATCATTTTCATTTCCACACATCCAGCACTGGCACAAAATGGCATGGACAGGTACGAAAAATGATTCATGGATCCTTGGTGCTAAAATTCCAGCTGATATTTTCATTTTTGGATAAATAATAAATACCAATAAGAATGTTACTTGAAAAAAAGAAAATGGGAAAAGAAAAATATTGCTGAGTGTGATCAAGCAAAATCCTTTGCAGAACTGCCAAAAAAAAAGAAGAAGAAAATAAAAAAGAGAGTTAAAACAAATATAGCTGTTAAATAAAAGATCCAGGTACCAAAGAGCAAAATTTAATGAAAGCCAAAACTGTTAAATATGGATTCCTGTTGAGAAAAAATGTCAATGTCTTTAAGAGTTTTACCATTACTCTATTTTTAAGAAAAGTGTAGTAAAAATACATATTACAAGTTAACATTTTTCCACGCTTTTGTCCTATTCCTCTTTTTTTTTTAACCCCTCTACTGATCAAAAACCTTTGAAGACTGCTTCTCACATCTTCACGTCGCAGTTGGCCAGTCCTGTCGCAGACATGCTGCTTCCCACGTAACCGGCTAGCGGCCCAGGCGGCTGCTGGCAGGTCTCCCCATGACCTGCCGCAAAGGCGCTAGTGTCTCTGGAGGTGGATGGGACACCACGGCCAAAGCGGGTATTGGCCGTCTACTCCCACTGCAGCCCTTGGCCGTGTGGGGCTGCGGCAAGGTCCGGGCTGCGGCAAGGGCCAGGGCAGGACATACATCCGGGGGTCTGGGTGCAGAAGTAGGCTAGCTTTCGGGATGCCTCCACCACACTAGCGTTTACACAGAACTGAAGTCAAAAATAAGAAAAGAAAAACGGATTAAAAATAATGATAACAACACAAAGTGACCTGGAGAGCTGTTTGGAGTGAGTGATGACAGTGCTTGTGCTGGGAGATGGGAGATGGAGATCACAAAGGTTTCCAGTGGAGGAGGGAGGAAAACACGTGGGCACAAGTCATGCTGTGCCGGAGCTTAAGATCTTGACTCTGACTTGCTGGTCTCCAAAAAGTGGTTGTAGGACAAGTGGGTAAACAGAGCAGATACTTCAGACCAGGCTCATGTTAAAGGCGGTAAGCGTATTGCTCTGTGCAGACATTTATACACTAATAGAAACTGGTGTTCAGGCAGCTTCTAGTTGTACTTATGGACAGCTGCATAGACAGATCCTCCTCATAGGCCTCTGCCAGTCATTTGCCTGCATGACTTTCTCTTCATCTTCCTCTTCCTGCTCCTCACTTGCTATGTTGCACCTTCTTGTTACAGGAAAAAAAGAGAAAGGAAAAAAAAAAGGAAAAAAAAGAGAAAAAAGCAGCTCAGCACCCTCCAGTAGCAGCTCTGTCCCCAGACAGATCCTACTGCATCCTGTGAGACACTTCAAACTTTCTTTGCCATCTGTGATGGATATATGAGCTGGGACAAGGGTGAGTGGGTCAGGTCCCTGCCCCACAGATCTTCTGATTTCAGGTGCTCCCCTGGGAACCCTTCACTGCCAGGGAGGTGCCTCAAGCCCACTGGAGTGGGAAACATTCGTCTGTCCATGCCAATGATTCACAGAACAAACCCTCTATGTGGTCCTAGAAAACTATCCTTGCACCTTTGATCTCCGTGCCTGCAGCTAGACTCCCAGCTGTCTGTCCAGCGGCGCAGGTTTCTGCAATGTTGAGTTTGGGATCAACAACCTGCTTTCCTGGCTTGTGAACGCTTCCCCCTCCCTACGGACACATGAGCAGGAATCTGCTACTTTTGGCTTTGTACCCAAAGTAGAGGCCATATCTTGACTGGAGAGCTGAGCCTGACCAGCCCCAATGCTATCAAATGTCACGGACGCTTGAATGAAGCTCTCGTAGGATTTCCTTGTAGTTCCTTCCAGGAAACCATCTTGGCCAACTATCTACAAAACGTCCCTTTTAATTAGAAAAATGGCCATAAAGGGATTTCAGGGAAAAAAGCCGGAGATATTCCCATTGCAGACCCATGACTTCTAGCATGTTTTATTGGTTAATAGGCAGCCATCTAGAAGTGGGTGCTCTTGAGATGGTCTGTTCCGGCTCGAGGTGGCTCCCTCATGTGACCACAACAAGGGAGCACACACAAAGCTAAGCAATGAAGAAATGGTTCACAATTGCTTATTGGCTCCCAATAACCTAGGCAGGAGAGTTGCTCGTGAGGGGAACGCTGCATTTACCTCCTCTCTTCCATAAACAGCAGCCTGTCATGATCTTAGATCTGCTCTAGTCTGCCATGCATGAAGCTCTCCGTTCCAGGCACGTGATCCTCTCTGGAACCGCCACTCGTCATCTCTGGAAGAATTATCACTTTGTTCTCAAGTTACCCAGGATTTCCAACTCACTGTTGACTTTGCCCCTGTAAAATAGCCTCATGTTTCTGTTCAGGCTCTTCCTTGCATCAAGTCCTTCCTTCGGCAGGGAGAGCTGTTCACAGCTCTGTCTGTCTTGTTGCAATAATTCTGCACCCGAGTTACCAGAACAACCAAAGGTAGAATCACGATGGACAAAAGGGGTCAATGCTGATGCCCTGTAGGGACTTCAACTTGCCATTTATCGGATTTTCTTTTTGCTGTTAGTAGCTCAGACATTATGGTTTGCATCCCAAACTAAACCAGATTAAAGGGCTGAGCAGGGAAAGGGGAAAGGGCTGATGTTACCCTGACACCACAGGAATTAGTAAGAAAAAATATATATATTGCACACACTAAGACTTATTAACAACCAAGTTAAAACAAAATGGCATAGTCCTCATTAGTGTTCCAGTGGTTCTTTCATCAGGGACCGTTCATGAGTCTGTTAAATCCCATTACGCTCTCCTTATTGCCGTACAGACCTGTTGCTGTTCTCCTGCCGGTGGATCTATTTGCAAAATAAAAAGGGAAATAGATTTGATTTCCTCAAGAAGATCCATCCAATTGTCCCTTCTGTCATCGTCATTTGTCTTGTCGGTGTTGGGTTTGTTTTTGGCTCTGGAGGGGGTGGAGTTGGGCTGCCCCTGCTCGCACCCAGGCAATGGGTCAAAAGGCCAATTATAATCCCGTTGCTCCCAGGGACATGCCGGTGCTGTGGCTCATGCACGGAATCGTCTGCATGGATTTGGGGAAATCGTGGCTGACCACACGTCCGTTCTCTCCACTGCTTCCCGCTGCAGCCGGCCTGGGAAGGGTTGATGTCCGTATGGCTTCGTTGATTGATTGCTGTGGGATTAAACAAAAACCCTTTTTAGGAAGGACGGGGGGGGGTCTCCCCCTGTCCTCAGCAATGTTGGAGAAATTGCAATATAAAGCAATGCTGTCTCTCTGTAACTCTTCTCTCTCTTCTGGCCTCCACTTGTACTCCTGCTTGCTGCATGTCCCTACCGCATCTGTTAATTCGCACCTCTTCTAGATTCAAAATTAAATGTTTCAGCTGTATTTTGAGGTATAAAGCATACATGCCATATGCAGAAACTACTCAAACCTCTACAAACATAAGAACAGCCTTACTGGATCTGATCAGCGGTATTATATTCATTTCCCCCATAGACATGCAATTGCAACTCCAGTACTGTTATATATGGTGGACTCTGACTCACTGTGAACATATGTTTAACTTTCCTCATGTGAGAAGCTGAGCATGTGCCTGTGTTTCTGTCAGCAGTGATGAATGAGGTAACCAGGAAATGCAAACCTAATTTAGGAACACAAATCTCATCTTCCTGTTCCAGACACTGTCCAAAAGTTTTGCCTGCTTTTGGTGATCTTTTTGGTGATTCTGTTTAGGAGAATTCAGCTAACAGATCAAGTCCTTTTGGTTCGTTTGCTTTTAAGCTGTCCCAAAGAGGGGCACTGACATTCCCTTTAGAATGAGATGTGTGCGTGAAGAATTATCCAGAAGAGACAATTCTGGAACAACCAGTCAGAAAGAGTCACTCACTGGATTGCCAGGCCCAGAGCAGCTGCCCACGCTGGCAGCATTTGCAGCTGCCCTGCGGGTCCCTCCTGGCTCAGCAGATCCCAGGTGCTGAGACGGCTGTTTGGGATCAGACCCCTCAGGGGGATTTCATTCCTCTTTCTGGGCTCTTACTGGGGCTCCGTTGAATGGATTCAGAGGGTGGCCACTGATGATGGGAGCTGGCCAAGGGGACCAGCTTAGGCCAGAGACTAACATTGGGAGAGATGGTTCTGCCTCACAGTGGCTGGTTATAACAGGGCAAGAGCAGTGCAAACTAACATTAACATGAACTAGCAGGTCGTTTGGAGCAACACAGGAAAGCTAACACTGGGTAGCATTTGGTTAAGAATAAAACTGTGAAACTATTGCATGCCGACACTCCTGCTCAGTGTATTTGTGACGTAGCCAGCTTTACAGTGTAGATAACAATTATAATTTATTTTTTTATTTTCAGGGACATTATCTGCACACATTATCTTACCCTTGTGCTCAATGTACCTTTCATTGCCTGTAGAATTTTCTGAACCTCAATGGGAAAAGTGCTATTGCACATTTTCAGTGAATGGGAAATGTTATTATTGCTGATAAAACAATAAGTGTTTTGGGAAATGGTGACATAAAAACCAAAGAAATGATCATGTTTTTTCCTTTTGATTCTAGATAAGTTTCAGGGCTCAGGGAAGTGAAAAATCTCACTGAATTTTAGGAAACTCACTTCATACTCTGCATGCTTATATCGACTTCCATGCTCACAGGAGCGGTCAAGGGGAGGAGGAAAAGGGATGCATTACTCTTACACAAATCCCTCTGCATCCCTATATGGAAGAGTAATGCCTTAGCAGGTACTGTTACGGTTAGTCAGCTGACTCAAGATGAACTCATTGCACAGATGCTTCATTAAAGGTGTATCCAAGAGGCTCTCAAAGCTAATCCAACCTGATTTTGCAATGGTGCTCTGAAATTTAGGCACACCAGAATTCAGGGCTGAAACAAATTGCCTGGATCATAGGAACTACATTCGGCAAGACCATGCCAGGGTAGAGGAAAGACCCACTGCAAGAGAAGTTAGAGCCTAGTTTCTCTCTAAGAGCAGCACCCATATTCTGAAATCGGAGACCCACATCACAAGGAGCCCTGTTCCAGGGCATTTACTTGGGAAAATAGTGTTCATCTGGGGCTAAAGGCTGGAAATCTGGTAAAAGCTCTGTGCATCTTGCAGTGTAGCCTGTGTGCAAATGGTGCCAGCAGGGTGCCAGCAAAGTGAATCACAGGATCTGATTCGTTACTGCACTACCCCAGTTTTACTTTGCTTTTAACTGCTTGGGCTTTTTTGGATTTTTTTATTGCAGTAGCTGCTATATAACACTAGCCCCAGCCGACTTCATCCACACTGCACACACGGATTGCCATGGTCTGCTTTCTTAATTTTAAGGAATAGCAATGCTTTCCCGTTACTATTGTGCTATAAGTTTGCTCTGTATCTGGATTTTGAACTAGAATTATGCCACACATCTGATTTTGCATTAGCTACCAACTTTGGCGCACATGACCCTCTTTTAGCTTCCTCTGATGCTCCTATTCCTTTCTAACAAATCAAGTGATACAGTCACTTCATTATGCCTATATCTCGGCTTTCCAGCCGTGGTCTGGGCTGCATCCGTCTCTGAAGGCAGCTTTGGAGCCGGGCTGGTATCAGAGAGAAGGTGTGAAAGGCCTGGGAATGGGTTGCCACCTTCATCCGCTTTGATTCACTTCTGGACTTGTAACAAAACTCGATTAAGGCAACCAGCATGGCTAGTCCGAGCCCACCGATGAGGATATAGAAAACCCCTGCCACATTGCTGAGACTCAGAGCGCTCGTCTTGTCCTAGAAGAAAAAGGAGAAGGGAGGGGAGGGAGGGCACGTGGGGAGGAGAACAGCAAAATTAATATGAGATTGCTCTAGAAGAGACAGTGCACAACATAGCAAAGTTGGCATTACATCATCTCCCTCTATAATATATGGCATTTCTAAGAGCACTTTCAATTTTTAATTCAGTGTCTAGTAAATCTAATGTTTCCCTCTCACAAACAAATAAACATTTCTTCAGCAGTGTGACTCTTTGTAAAGGTTTGGGATCTCCGTTTTTCCATCATCAAACTTAAATGCTTATTTACCCAAAATGCCTAGTTTAAATTATTGATTAAAAGAGAAAAAATAAATTCTCTGCCTCTGTGACATTTGCTTGTCCCTGATGTCTCGCCTGAAATAACCCGTTCTCTTGGAAATGTTATTCCCTCATTCCTAGATTGTTTCCCCCGCAAATTCTGTTGCTGAGCAACACATCAAAATCGCTGGTTTTCCTTTTTTCTCTCCAATATTGAGGTTGAGGTGATACCTGAGATGAGCTGTCCTCAGAAACTCATTTGATTTCTGTGTAATAAGGTAGCTATTTCATGTGTCATCAAGACCCGCTGATGCATGTCTAAGTTAATTATTTGGTTCTCAATAAATAGGGTTATTAATGGATAGCTACTCAAAGTTGGCACCTACATTCTGATTTTACAGTTGCCTCAGAATGACTCATTTTACCAGCAGGGAAACTGAGTCCCCGCATACAATGCTGATGCCAATCAGTGCAGCTCTCAGCACTACCCCACGCTGACCAGGTGGAGGCTGGGACATTAGGATTACTTTGGGCAATGGCAGAACCCAAAAACTTGTCTCAGCTCCTTGCTCTTATTTCTAGGTCATGATTTCTCTTTGCAGTGCACTTAGGTGGGGATCCCCTGCTCTGTCCTTGTTATCACTCTGCAGTATTGACTCAGCACCTATTTGCTGGGTACAGGTTCCCCAGAGTTGGCCCAGCAGGTTGGTGCAAAGCTATCGGAGAGACCAGGGTTTGGCCAGTGTGGTCAGTCCCACTCCCCGGACGTGTCCTCAGCCAGGTAGGGGAAGGAAAAATGCATGAGGATCATTTGAGGGCCAGCCACACAGTTGAAGAATAATATTTATGCCCTGTCGAAGGGGGTCCAGCTGAGAAGAAAGCCTCTGTGTGGTTCTTGGTGTTTCTGCTACTTGGTGGACACGTGGACCGGCAGGTGGCATAGCGTCTTCCCTGCCCTTCTAGGACAGTTGATTCACTCATTTTCCTTGGCAGGTTTTACAATAAACAACCCACACTTATCAGGAAGGGCAAGGCTTCAGGAAGCAGGAAGATAGAGCGAAGTGGTGTCAAAACAATATGAGCGGGCCCAAAACTGAACACCAAGGTGAGCACGGAGGGCTTCAGTTCAAGAGCCACCCATCTCGCAGTGTGGACACTTTCAGGCAAGCACATTTTGCAAAAGGATTCTGTCTTTTGGAGTATTAGGGTTCGCTGGCAAAAAAATTAACCCTCAAAGTATGAAAATATTTCAGTTTTCAAAACTAAATAACCCCATAACTGAGGAGGACTTAACTTTGTGGGATTTATTTTTCTTTTTATAGGAAAAAATTAGAGAGTTCCATTTAAAAATGCTAGAAAAATGCTTTTTTACTACTTCCCCTTCAGCTGACCCCACTGCCCATACAAAGCAGCACAGCTTTCTGCCCAGCTGGAGCACTCACTGCTGCCTGCAGTGCCACAGGGAAAAATTTTCCATTCTGAATCATTTACTGAAAAATGCAGGGTTTTGGTTAGAGGTCACCCCTGCAGAATTTGGTCCCTGGCAAAATTTGGTCACTACAAGTAATTTCCCTTTCCATGCTTTGCTGACTGGCGTCTCTGCTAAGAGATTCATGGTTGTCACCACGTGTGTTACCCCCTTGTAGGCGTGATGGTCTCCACTGGTGGACAGGTTTTGTTTGTCTCTTGGATAAGCTTTGTATGCCGGTCAGTCTGTAATCTTGTCACTGCTTCCAATGTGCTCTCTGTAACGAGAGGCTTCTGAAATATCCTCTTACTTTCTGCAGTTTCCGTATCTGAAGGATTATTTATCTGGTCTTTTTTAATCTGCCTTCATGCATTTTTCTCCTTGTCTTGACTGTACCTTTGTTCAACCATTCCTTCTCTGCAGATTACTGGGAGTCACTTCTAAGAACCAGCTGAAACTTTTAAGGAGGTTTTTAGAAAAGATTTAGTAAAGCAGAACTTTACTCTCAGAAAACTGGGTTGCAACACATCATGTACCTTGTCTCTTCAGATTCAGAGTCTGAAGGGGCTGTACCAGCTCGAGGGAGAGACAAAGACGGTAGAAACAGGTACCCTCCTTGACATCCTAATCTGATGCTTTTAGCCTGGCTCCTTAATGACAAAGGGCTGATAAGCATATGCTCTGTGTTCAGGGGAAGGAGGGAGACAGAGAAGGTGGTGGAGCCGCTCATTTGTCAGTGTCTTAGTGTTAATTTTCAGCCCATACATTCAGCTTGATTTGACAGAGGGGTGGAGATCTTCAAGATATCAGGGACCTCCAAGTTTTGTGATGAAAGGATGACATGGTAGAGAGACTGTATTAGTGCTCTCCGTGAAATAAATGTATTGGCTCAATCCTTACCAGACATCAGAGACTCCACATGGGTATTTGACTTGCAGCCACAGATCCCTGGGAAACCCGGCTCCCTGGACTCTGCTGCTCATGGGAGTTCCTGGCTTTGGGCTTTTGCTGGCTGTGATACTTTTGTATTTCTGCCCCTGCTTTGGGGGTCACATTGCAACAGGAGACTTTCTCAGCCAGCTGTTAACAGCAGGGAGATCCAGCAGGTAGGAAAGGTTGCTATTTCTTAATTTCCTCTTTCCTCTGGATACCAGTGAAAAATCGACCAGTAAGTGAGGGGAGATCACCCAAAGCTATTTGCTGCACCAGTATTTCACACTATTAATCTTCAAGCCACTGCAGTTTTCTTGCATTTGATTTGCAGCGGCCTTATTATTATCATCATTGTTGTTATTATTATGAATGTGACAGTTCAGGTGAACTGAAAGTTGACTCTTCGAGCAGCAGGGAAAGCCAAGCAAAACATCTGTTCAGCATGGCACAGCAGTGGGCAAACCTGCCGGGAGGGAGGGGACGGGCTATATTTCACTCCTGCCACTGTAATAAATTGTCCCCCAGGGCGACTCTGTTGTGGGATGCCAGAGGACACAGGCAGCTTCAGTAGGGCACTGAGAAACACCAAAATACAGGGGCATAGCTGTTATCATGATCCAGGCTGAGAAGTGAAATTGCTCCTGTGGTGTCTCTTGACTTTTTTGCTCATCCTTTCTTTTTTCTTTTTCTTTTTTCTTCCTCTTCCCATCCAGTGGCCAAGGGACCAGACACTCCCAGGAAGGCTAAGAAGTGATGCATGCCTAGGCGAAGCTTTTCCTCCTCTTGCAGTTCAGGTTCCTGGCTTAATAACACTCAAAAATAATACAAATAAATATCTCAAACCTGTGCTAACTGCGTGAGGGACCAGCAGGCCCTTTCCTGAACCTCCCCTGCTCCTTGCTCAGGCTCAGTGACACCAGCTGCTCTCCCGTGGAGCTGCCCATCACTGAACCAGCTTGTTAGTGGGAGTGTAAATGTCACTGCTCGTCTCCCGCAGAGGCACAGCGCAGACGTGGGGGGAAAGATTGGCAGGTGAAAAGAGAAAGAAAAACCCATCTTTCCGAAAGCGTGGCCTTGTTGCCGCAGCAACCAGGCACCTTCCCGTCTGTTCTTCTCAAACGATGGCACTGTCATCCTGTTCGCCATTATTTATCCTCCTTGGCTGAAAGGTGGTAAGGGCAAATTGCCCCAGCTTCCCCTTGGGGCGGCCCTCTCGTCCCCCACACAGCCAGAGCCCATCCGTAGCACAGGGTGACCACACCTCGAGCTGCTACCGTTTCCATGGGCCTGCTGAGAAGATGAGCTGTCCTGGGAGCAGGCGGTGGCAGCAGAACACTGCAGAAGTTGGGGAACTCTTATGGCAAGCACCGGGCCGCCTCTCTTGGGGGAAGGTTTGAAGCTCAGCAATGAAGGATGTCATGCTGCTGACTGGTGTCGATGCTGTGCACTGCCATGGGACTGCCAGGGCATGGGCGTGAACCTGTGCATGGCCACCACAGGGACGAGGTTCCAGCAGGAACAGGCACATTTGGTTTGAGAACCAGCCAATTCCCCACAAAGGCAGGGCAAAGCAGTAGCAGGGTTTAATACCTCCCTCTGACTTTCCCTGTTTTAATTGATTTTTTTAACAGAAGTCCAATTCTTGCCAGTGAAGAAGAGGAGCAGGGAATCCCTGGGGCTTTGATGAAGGTCCTCCTGGTGCAAGAAGTTGTCTGGCTGCCCCTGCAAGCAGGCCCACCTGGTTATCCTGGCCCTTCTCCTGTTGCATTGCAAAAGCCCCAGGGGAGACAAGAATCACATGCATCTGCTTTTTAGGGTTCACCTTGTCATCACACTCAGACAACCTGAGCCATTGCTTTCAAACCTCCAGCAATTTGCATAGCCTGCCAAAATAGCAGCAGAAGGGTGGCAAGGAGGACACAGTGGATTCTGCCCTCCCCACTCGCTGCTTGGCGCAGCGTGTTTCCCGGGTTTCTCGCTGTCTGGCAATGCAGCCGGGGCAGGGGTGATCCTAGCTCCATGGCCACCAAGCATGGCTGTCTAGCACCTTCTGTGATGGGATAAGAGATCCAAAGAATTCAGCAAAGCAGGAGTGTTTGTCTCTGGAGTTTTAGTTCAGACCCACTGAAGTATCTACTGTTTATTTTTTTTATGGGGATTTCTCTGAATAAAAACTACGTGGGGAATAAATAGATAAAATGTCAGATCAAAAAATAGGATACACAGAAGTCAGTTAGAGGCATGAAATGTAATCTGAGAACCCTGTTCATAAGCCTGGGAAACATCAAAGGTCT